GTTTAGGGAAGAAAACGCTGAAAATGTATTTTTAGACGTTTCGTGTTTTCAGCTCAAAATTTTTTTTGTTTTTAAAAATGCGTTTTCGAAAATAGGAAAGAGGACGCGTTTTCACTGTTTTGAAAAATCGAAAACAAAAAACAACTTGAAAACAGCAAAGAGAACAAGGCCTAAATCTTCATCTTCTTCTCTTCTACTTGATAGATTGTTGAGAGAAAGGGGGACCTAGCCTTTTAATTTTTTGATAGAGGAAATTACACCTACACCTGAAATTAGATTTCCAATTTCAAAATTAAGATCACAAGTTTAACATTTCAAAAATCAGGTTTTTTTTATATCTAATTAAATAATTTAATTAATTATTAAATTTCATCCCAATTAATAATTTAATCCCAAAATAAAACCTAATTTCATCATTCATCTCGTCCCAATCTTCTCTCATCCCTGTTGCTCTCTTCTCCCTCTCAGCCGCAACGGCCATCGGCCTTCTTCTTCCCTTTCCCTCTCTCGTCTTCACTTTTCTTTTCTCTCTCTCGGCCCTTTTTCCTCCGGCGACTCTAACTCTCGAAGATCTAGACGGTGGGATGGTGTAGCTCGAAGATCCAGTCAGGTATTTTCCTAAGGTTTCGCATATCCGTTTCTCTCTCTCTACCCTCAGTCCCTCACCGTTTTCTCTCTCTCTCTCTCTGGCCTCAACGTGTTTCTCCCCTCTCCATCGCTGTCTTCTACCTTTTCCCTTGCCGGCAACGCTGGCACTCGAAGTGTTGGATGGTGGGATGGTGGTGCTCGAAGATCCAATCAGTGGGTGTACGATTCTGTGGCTGGGTGTGTAGGTGTGTCGCTGCTGCCATTCTTGTGGGTGTGTGGCTGGGTGAGTGTGTGAATCGGAGTGGCAGCTGATCCGTAGGTGTGTGGTGGATCGGTAGGTGTGGCTGTTGTTGGTGGCGGATCTGTTGTTGTTGTTGGTGGCTGTTATTGTTTGCTGTTGTTGGTGGCGGATCTGTTGTTGTTGTTGGTGGCTGTTATTGTTTGCTGTTGTTGGTGGCGGGTCTGTTGGTGGCGGATCTGTTGTTGGTGGTTTGGGTGGGTTGTGTGCGGCGGTGGTGATCGTGCGGTTTGGGTGGCG